CCCCTACCCCCACCCCGGCTGCTGTCACTGTACTCATGACTAGATGGCTGCCCAGCTCAGTGGGCAGTGGAAGGCTGCGGTGCCCAGGAGCCTTGCAGGGCCACGGTAAGTTCCTTGAGAACAAGCTCCCCTGTCCTTACCTGAGACCCACCCAGTGCTGAGGACACAAAGCCGAACTCACGAACACCTGCTGTGGCTGGGCGCACCTTGGGAGGCCGGGTGGAAGGATCGCTTGAGCCTGGGAGTTTGAAACCAGCCTGGGCAACACAGCGAGACTTCCTCTCTACAAAAAATTCAAAACTTGAGCCAGGCATGGCGGTGCCAGCCTATAGTCCCAATGACTCAGGAAGCTGAGGCAGAAGGATCCTTTAAGCCTGGGAGTTGGAGGCTGTGGTGAGCCGTGATTGTGCCACTGCACTCCAGCCTGGGTGACAGAGACTTCAACTCAGAAAAATAAACAAACAAAACACCTGCTGAATGAGTGGGGGGCAGTGAGCAGGTGCTACTAGTGCAGGAATAAGCAATCCCACGTGATACCAAGTGCTGGGTGGTGCAGGCTGGTGTCTTCCAGCGTCGTGGGGCGTCTGCCTGAGTGCCTGGGACTTTCGCTCGCGAATTCTACATCATTTGGTAAGCCGGGGCCCCCAGGGGTGAGCACAGAGCCGGCTTCGAGCCCAGGTCCTCCTCGGCATCAGCACCCTCCAGGAAGGCAGCAGCTCGAGCAACTGGGCGCCAGGCTTGGGTCTAAGGTCCCTAGGCGAGTGAACCCTTCTTCCCACAGGAGCGGGTTGAAGAGACAGTCCACTCGCCCAAGGCCACACGGCCTGAAGCGGCAGGGTAGGGACTGGCCCTGACTCTCGCTTTCCAAGCGGGTGCCCCGAGGCCGGCGGCTCCCCTCCTTCGAAGGCCATCGCTCCACGGAAGGGGCCCGGGCATCCAGTAAGGCATTCTCAATCTCTGCTGACCGGGCACTCCTAACAAACAACCTAGTGTCCTCCTTGACAGCGGCCTGAAATTCCAAAGTAACCTCAACTGTACGGCGCTATCCAAGCAGGGCAGTGGCCACTGAGGACACTCTGAGACCCTCTGACTCTTCCCCTAGGGTCCCAGCCGGGTTCACCGCTGGCCGGCCTTGACGTCTGAGCCCCTCCTCCTCAAGGAAGGCCCAGGACCCCAGCTTGTTAGGGTAGACTGGGGGCTGCCCCTGAAACCCATATCCTCCTCCAGCGCCCCCTCTCCTGCACACCCCTCTTCTTCCGCAGCAGCGAAAGGAGCCTGCGGCCACCTCCTCTGACAGCCTGCCAGGGGGAGAAGACAACCGCTGCCGGCCTTCGCTTGGCCTCAGGCCCCGCTGTGGGTCGAGGAACCTGCAGCTAGCCTCCCGGTAGGCGAGCGAACAGCGCCCACGTGGGATGGCTGCGGGAACCCTGGAACCTGTCCCGAGCACTGGCGCCGGGCCTGAGTCACAGCACTCCGCCCGGCTGCCGCCCCGTTCCTGCTGGCCCTCCACCTGTCGCCTGCGGCAAGGACAGGGTCTGTCCTTCCCACTCCCGTCTCTCCTCCTCTTTTGGGGTCTCCAGCCGGCCAGGCCGTCAAAGGCCAAGTATCCCGAGAAGTGGAGGAAGGAGAGCCCTGCTGGCCTGGTCGCGGAACTCCACCGCAGGGGGGGCCTGGCCGGCCACCGGGGCTCTCCCAGGCCCC